CCATCTGAGTTGCATATGAAAGCGAACGGCTGCGTCGTATCCCTATTGAATTCTCGATCCTCTTCTTCAGTTCTTCTTTTTTGGGGGAATAAAATAAATAATAGTTGTGTATGGAACTAAAGAGCCGCAGCTTCACATCCAAAGAGCCGCATGTGGCTCGCGAGCCGCAGGTTGCCGACCCCTGGTATAGGATCAAGTTCCTCTTCCTTAGTAACTCCTTACCCAGAGACGTCTCAATGAAGGCCAAATTATGCATTAAATTTACACCTGAAAAAAAAATATGATAAAATATGATTATGTGTCTATGACATTTATACCACCATCTGAACGGAGCCTTAGGAGGGCATACTAAGAAGATGCAATGTCTTGTGGGGATGAGCAATTTATACTCCTAAGCCTAAAAAAGAACTTGGGAAAAAAAAAAAAGATCACATGAATTAAATTTGTTGTCTAATTGCTCTAACTTGAGGCACATTACGACAGGAAAGCAAAGGTAGTAATCAGAATTAATTTAAAAATTTTATCCTTATATTTTTCTTAAAAATTCTGTAAAATAATAAAATTTTTGGCTTTCCTCAAGTAAATATATATGGAAAAAATAGCCACGCAATCACAGATTTGATTTTGTTATGTGTCCCATTTGAAAATTTTACTGATTTCAATGAATATATTTTTAAAAAAATCTTTACACATGACTTTGATATATGCTGCATATTATTTACAAGTTCTTTCATGCAAAAAGTCCAAATTTGGTACAAATGAAATTCATCCCCCTCTATTTGATAGCTATAATATTACATATAACAGTTTTAATAGCTATCAGTATGTAAACCACATAATGTAACACCACAGAAAAAAAACATAAATGATGACATTTTAATTTTGGCATAGAGAAATACATATTTACCCCAAAAGAGAGCTTGTATTTCTACCTTCTACGTCAGAGTCAATAACTGAAATGTCCAGATCAGAACTGAGAAGAAAAGAACCATAATTAGTTTAATTAAGATACAATAACACACCGACCAAGTATTAATTTGAGAGTCAAGCAACAAAAATCAGCATCATATTTTGAAATATTCACTATTTGAAAATATAACGCTGATTTTGGTTGCTTGACTTCTAAATTAATACATAATTAGTTAACCATAATTAAGTAACTGTAAGAGTTTCAATATCATGCACAGCTAATATCTATTTTAGAAATAAACCAACTTACCTCAAGAAAGCCTGGTTTGTCTTAGGAACATTAGCTGTAACTTCTGGCGTAGAAAAGTCAAATTTTTCACTTCCAGACCTAAAAATGAAAGAAATAAACTGCTATAACAACATAATTAAAAAAAATCATGAATAAATTAATAGCACATAACAACTTTAACCCTTTAACTGTCGTAGAAAATGTACAAGATTTATTTCCCAGTACCATGGTTTTTCACACAGACGCACATAGTTATGCGATATATTAGGGGAAAATAAGGGCAAGTTTTACTTTCTAAAAACTGTTTACTTTCACAAAATAAAGAATAAAAGAAAAAAATGAATGCACAGAATTTAATGTTTTGAGTAAAAGTATAATAAAAAGATGTAAGTATAATAAAAATGATGTTTTTATAATAAAAAAGGTCCTAAAATGGAGTTTTGATGAAGTCATTTTAGACCCAGTAAAGTGTAATATCTGGCTTCAGTATTATTCCTTGTGAAATCAGTATGCCTAAGAAACATATATTTCTTCGGAGCTGCTTGAATGTATGATTTTCTTCTTGGGCTTTCGTTTGCAAGGTGTTGGCTCATATACTCATCTACAAAATGGTTAGTTTCAGTAACAATATGAAGCATGAGCAGTTCATCAAAAAATAATTCAAAAAAGATAAATGGGTTTGAAACATCCATTATATCTTTCTTTATTATGCTGAAACCTACTACAAAAAGTAAATGAAAACAGAGGACACAGAATAGAAAAAATACATTTTACTCAAATAACACCAACCAATACCGTGCAGTCATTACTTTCACCTCTTTAGACACATCCCTTTCTCTAATTTCTCCCCACACTTCTCTGAAATAGTATCGTTCGTAGCATACTTTGTCAAGGTCATTGTGGTGTTGCATTCCAAAGCTTTGCGAATAATTTTGCGGGTACCAGCGCAAAGCAAATGATAGTATTTTGGAAGGGCGTATATATATGCCCGGTGCAGTTAAGGGGTTAAGCATTAAGCTATGTCTGACTACCACCCATCTCAGACAGTGTGACAGATCATGCTGTATAACCACAGTTTAGAAAAATTGCAAAATGTGTTATTTATATCTATCTGAAATGGTACATTACATAATTTGTAAGAATAAATTAGAGGGTTCTGCGAGTGATATTCCTTCCAATTAAAAAATGTAGGAATAAAGAAAATGCGGGAATTGCAAATGCAGAAATGCAAAAGGGATTATATTTTTTGCACGGAATCTAGATGACATATTTTTCAACAGTTAAGGAATTTCACAGGAAGCATGCCAAATGTAGGACCTACGACTACAACAATTATATGGATTTAATTCATCTATGCTCATGAACAAATGAAAAAAAAAAAATACAATAATCAAAACCACACAAATGTTATTTCTTTGCTCACTGAAATAATTGCATTCACTGAGTTTGGAAGCATCATTTATATATTCATTACAAGATTAGCAATATTTGCTGCTAATGAGTTACAATTGTTATAACAATAAGGTTTTTGACTTTATCTATGGTGTTTACATTTTTTTGGGGGCCTAAAATATTAGGCCCCTAAAAGCAGAATATAGTTTTTAAATGTTCAGATAATCTTCCTATGAGAAGAATTCCTTTGAGAAGTACACATCTGAACCACAATTAAAAAACATGTACAAGAACAGAGCTGAGGACTTCTGTTTGCAGAAAGTCTGTCACATAACATATGAAAAGTTTCTTATTGGTAGATTTTTGATCAGACAGATATTTTATTGTTATACAGAGAAAGCATTCACTCCCTTTATACTGGAGATAATTCAATTTGGACAATGGCAAAAAGGCTAAGCAAGCCTGAGCGTATTGGTCCCATTCTTGGCACTAGTTTGGTTTATGCTCAAAATACAAAGCAGATATTTTCTAATTACCTGCATCCCAATATCAATTCAATTCAGCTTTTGGTGGAATTTACCATTTGTGACATATTTTTCAAAAACTACACTTCACAACATGCATACATGACAAATACACAGAACCATAAATATAAACAAGCAATAATATATATTTATATATAAATTTTACTAAATGATCATAAAATGTTCCAACGCTAAAAGAAAGTTTTAACATCCAAGTAAATGACATAATAAAAAAAAGCAAGTTGAACAGCGAGCACATGAATGCATGTGAATACCTTTTTAATGTATGCACATTGGTAACTGACAAACTTTCATAAAAATATACCATAGGTAACTGACAAAGCATTTCGTAGCAAACATATGACTATAAAATTTCCAATAATACCATGTAATGATGGTGAAAATTCAATTATTTCAGCAATTCCTTGTGAATTGGAATTTACCCTTTCAATATTTCCCAACAATTTAGTGTGAATGGAGGAATAAATTGTTATAACAGAATTGAACAATTATTAGCATCCCCTCATACACACACACACAAAAAAAAAAAAAAAAAAAAACCTTACTTGGGGAAAAAAAAATCATCCGGGCAATGATTCTCCTTTGACACAGATGCAGTTGTATCAATAATTTCTGACCTTCAATAAAAAAAAAAAAAAAATCGCATATTTTACTTCGGAATTAACTTACTACGAAATCATAAACACGGGTAGTCGATATAAAGAATAAATTATTTCTCACCTTTCGAAAACATCCGCTTGTTCGGAATCTTCCACATCTCGGGAATTTAATTTCATATATTTTTTCTTGAGCTCGACGTTTACGCTGAATTCTGGATCTTTTATTAAAACCAGGATGTTTTTTCGGTCGTCCTTGATATTTTCGCATATTTTTTGCAAACTGACCACAGTACAAATAAATGTAAACAAAACGAGTGCGGAATAGCAATGCAATAGGGTTGCCGTAAACGTCATTCTGCTGACAGCTGACAATGTTTAGTGAAAACTGTATATAAAGGAATATATGTAACGCTTCTAAATATTATTTACGGAAAAAATATGATTTATAACTGATATCAAAATCCAATTATTTCGTGAATTTTTGCAGAAATAGGATTACAATGCTAAATTTAAACTCGTAGCGCCATCTATTGATGGCTTTCCAAACTACACATTAAAATTACATATTTCAAACATAATATTTAAGTAAATTTCATTCCAAACTTGATTCTAACTTTGCATTCCCAAACTGACTTATTGCTTTATATTTCTGCCAAATAACATGAAGCAAGATGAGCAGTTGTAGATGAAATATTGCAAATGAATGTATAGCTATAAATACTAAGTAGCTCTAAGTTTGCTCATTGCTCAAAAAAATGAGTTATGTGCAGATGAAACTTTAAAAGCATAGTACAGATGCAGTGGTATTTAACATAATGAATAATGTAATCTGGCAATGTAAAAAAAAAAATATTTGTTTGAAAATTGTTGATGGAGAAATAAAAAATAATTTGCAGATGTAACTGTCTGTAAATCTCCCAAGAAATCAATTAAATAAAAAAAAATGCTAATCAACAAACTAAAAATGGAAGTTATCCATTACTAAAGAATAGATGTGCTTGCACAAGAAATGGCAAATTAATTTTAAAAGGCTTTTTGCAGTTTGATACTGTTTTTCAAATAATCAGTTTTAATATTTTTGGTAGTAAATTTTAGTTACCTGTAATTTTTTTTAATATACACAATTGGAATGTGATACTGTGCATAGTTCATGTCATCTTTATAACTTGTAGTAAAATAGTTTTTTATATTCATAACAGGTTTATATTCTTTTATATATGAAAATGAAATCAGCTCTTGTTCTGACATGTTCATTTTCTTTGGCAGCGACAGTCTTCTTTTACTACCCAAATGGTGAGATCTCATGGAAGATCTATTCATAAAAGATCAACCATAGAAATTTTAGTTCGAGGGAAGATGGTTGGAGAAGCTACTCAACCCCAAGTCTATTCACATCCTCATCGCTTTGAAAAGTATAATTATACAACACCGACTTACTGTGATTATTGTTCGCATGTGCTTTGGGGTTTAGTGAAAACGGGTAAGGTTTGATTGATATTTTTTAAATGGGATATTCAGTTGTAATATTATTAAAAAATACAGAATTAAGTTTGTTTTTCCAGAAATTCTAGAAGTCTACTTGTTATTTTTTTCCCCCTGTGATAATATTTTGAAGTTATACTGTGTTCCAAGTTCTTTGAATAAAAATCACAAAAAGGATCAAGATTGCATATTGCATTTATATAAACATCTGAAGATTTTCACCTCAACATTTTTTACATACGAAGTTCTAAAATTTTCAAATAGCATAAACTAAATTACTAGAGGTACAAATATATCATTTTGAATTGCTGATTGGAAATAATAATTTTGATTATCAAGAGAAATTATTCTAAAATTTTAAAAAATCCCTTTCCCTATATACTTGTGTATAGATTTAAATAAAAAGGTTAACTGGAACTAGTAGTTGAGCCCCTGTTTTATTATTGTTAACAAAACATTTTGCAAAGACCTTCAGTAATGATATTTTTATGATGAAAATAAATTTATAAATTGTAGAATGCAAGTCCATAAAAATAACTGTATTGGAATTAAGTGCATTGTCAGTTTTAATGATTAATTATTTGTAAATTTTATTTTAAATAACTTTTTTATATCTTTTTAAAACTAGTTGTTGGTATTTGAATTCAGTATTGGCATCTCTTTTTTATGTATATATATATATATATATATATATCATGTCACTGTCATTTTTATGAGTTATTCTGATAATATGGAGAAATTAAATTTTGTAGATTCATGTCATAGAACTAATTAATTTTTAGAATCAAGAATTACTCTGAAGGGAATGTAGTTTTTATATCATTATCTATAAATTTGAAAGTTTGAATGCTTGACTGGTTTACAGGTTGAAAATTAATTTTCATGTACGATAATTATGTAGCTTTAACGTTTTAATCATTATTCTGTAACAATTTTCAAAATACTTTTATTTTCTAAATATAGGCATGAGATGTATTGATTGTGGCTACAACTGTCATGAAAAGTGCTTAGATCAAGTACCTAAGAATTGTACTAAATATAAATCTGTTAGTGATTCAGGTGCAGCCTCTGCATCCGTTTCTAAAGGTGGTAGTGTTGAGAGCTCATCTGTTGCATCAAGTAAGCATGGCAGTTGTATTCTTAGTTTTGGAAAAGTAATCGAAAATAATTTTCTCAAATTGCATATAGAAACTTTTCTTAAATAAATAAGTACAAGAAAAGAATTTTTTTAAATTAAAATTTGTCAGTGTTTTTTAAGTTTTGCCTGTTTTATTTTATACATATTATATAGTCTTACGGCATTATAATGCATATAACTGCCTTTTTTTAAACCTTGAAAAATGTTGCCAAAGTTCACTCATCTCTTAAAAAATAATTTTGTTAGTTATAGACTGTAATACTTTTATACTTACACTTTCATGTCTTTTAATAATAAGAAATTGATATAGAAATCTATTTAAAAGTTTAGTATTGAAATATAAACAGCTGAGCCATTGTGTTAAAAGTGCTTTGTTTATTGATTAAAATTTTTTAAACATTTTAATTTTTATATTCATTAATTATTAGTAAAATCCCAATTATGCAAATATTTGCTTTTATAACTGAAGAATTCCCAGCCTTTTTTCTTTAGACCCCTATAAAAAGACTAATTTTCATCATCCATCTCCATGCATTTATCTGCATAACATACAGTATACAACACAGTCATAACACAAATGATTGTCTTTAAATAAATAAGATACCGAAGCAAATGAACAAAAGTTTTGAAGGGCTATTAAATTTATGTTTTACCTTTTATATTATTATTTTTTTTTTAATTTGCAAATATAAACAAGCTTTCAGAAATAAAATTCCAGATTCTAGTTGCATAAAAGCTCAAATTTAATTAATGTTATGTCTTTTCTCGATGCATTGATGCAAAGTTTTTAATATTTGGCATAAAATTGCTTAATTGTTAAATCACCTGGTTCAATTACATTCAATTTATTTTTTGTTTTCCGTAGTAAATTATTGATTTGACTAAAGCTTAAATCAACTAGATAAGAAGAGGAGAAATATATTTGGGATATTTCTTTTAGATGATTTATAAATTCTAAAACTTATCGTGCTCATGTGTTTTGAATGAAATTTATGCTTGAATGCTTCAGTGTAATCAACTTTAGTATATCGCATATATCACAGTTCAGCTGTTCTGTTAACCATGCTGGCAGAATCAAATTTTCAGTGTCCTGGAAGTGAACTCCAGGACACTGAAGTCTTCTTTTAAATTTTCCACATGTATATAACAGCACATACAGGAAGTTTTGCTTTCTTTGTAATATTTGGGCTATGTTTTCTTATGTTCCTGCATCTTCCTTTTTTTTTTTTAATATTGCAATTAATGCTTTAAAAAAATATTTTTTTAAAGAAAGGTATGATTTTTAAAATATATTAAATAATTCTTTTTCTTATATTTGTTTTATATTATTTCTTTCTTACTGCATGATATAGCTTTGTATCAGTAAGCAATTAATTATCAATTTTTACTTCCTAGTACGAATGTAATCACGAAAAATTCCGGGTACAATATTTTAAAAAAAATATCTATTTTGATAACTATTGAATGAAATTTAATGATGTTTTTGCGTGACATTTGTTTGTAAGGACAGAATAAAGGAATCTTTTTCTCCAAACAAATTATAAAACTGATTTAAAGTAGATTCAAAAGAGGTTTTTTTTTTTTTTTTTTTTTTTGAGGCATCTGTACTTACTTGCATATGTCTGTATCTCGCATAACTCAAAAACGAGTAGCCTCAGAACATTGAAATTTTGTATGTAGAACTGCTATAACATGTAGTTGTTCACCCGCTGTTTTGGTTGCAATCATCTGCACCAAAAGTATATAAATATCCACTCTGTTACTCAGTTCAGTGAGCTGGGTTTTTTATTATTATTATTTATTTATTTATTTATTAATTGTTATATGTTGGTAAATTGTGCGATTTTGCTCTAAAATGATTTAATTAGGTTCTTATCTTTGGTTAAGGTTTTTATGCTTTTACTTAATCTGCATGTAATAGCTGTAGAATTATTAACAATAAAAATTTCAATTTAAATTTTGCACTTGAATATAATATTGTTTGTGTAGATTGTTCCTAGATTGCCAGTGTGGCCACGTACATGAGAAAAGATAACATCAACACCTTTATTATTAAGGTCTTTAAGAAGAGCATGGGAAGTCACAATTAATTTATTATATGAGAAGATATTCCTAAGAGAAAAATCGTTAATGCCCAACATTGTTGGTCGCTGCCAGAATTATTTAAAAAACAACTTCCATTGGAGAACTGGATTTTCTAGAGGCATTTCACATTTTAAGAAAAAAAAATCTTTCTATTCTAGTTAATGATCCTAATTCCAATCCATCTTTGCCTTCGGCTTTTAAAGAAATTATGTTTTAGTTCTGGTTTCATCAACAGATGTCGCCACTAGCTTATCTTCTGTCCAGGCTTTCTTATCTTATCTAATCATTATATCCTATCTCGTTCATTTGCACTTTTGCAGCTGAGAATGATGGTTCGGTAAAACCATCAAAGCTAGTCCTGTGAAAATTTGAAAATATAATGCTGATTTTTGTTGTTTGACTTCTGAATTAGTATTTGTTCGCCGTGTTATTGTGACTGAATTTCTTACCATATTTGTTTACATTTGAGCATAATAGTGAATTAAATCTTTCTGCACCTTTTTTGCCACATGGAACCAAAAAGAAACTTTTAGTTTTGTGTGCCAAAAAATCTGTTTTTTTGCCTGCTAGTTGAATTGCTTGTTTTTGCAAAGAAACTGTAATTTTAATTGTAAAACAATTTTTTTAATTGTTTTAACTGTATTTCTTGTTTTTATGTTTTTTTAAATCTTTTAATTTTTAAATAGAGTAATATTTTAAGTTTTTATGTATTTTTGCCTTGCCATGAAGTGAGAACTGAATTAATTGAGTGAGAAATATATCTGTAATGAAATTTGAGGAAATTCGTTTAAATGAAATGCAGGAAAAAGTGCATATAATTTAATATTCCGTTACAAAGAAGTCATGGGGTGTACACATCATATTTTTTGTAATCAATGAAATCTTTATTTTGTGTAGATCGGCTGCCTCTCTGATTATCAGCCCCTCGACCACCATTAATCCCTTTTAAAATTTCATCCCCCAGGGTTCAGTACTGACTGCGTTTTCATATATTGATTTTGAAATAAATTGCATTTAAATAAACATGTAATTGTTGTAATAATTAAGACTGAAAAAAGTGTAAAGTTGTATTCTAAATTAAATATATGTTCTTCAACACAGTTCTTTAAAAGCATTATTTCTGTAATATGGCAAAGAAGTTCGAATAACTCATATGACGTTGAATTTGAAAATAAGAACAGGTTAGAGTAGATATGATTGCTCATGCAAATGAAATGAATATGCATCATCAAATACTTAACTACATGTTTTAGCAACTAATACCCAAATGCAACTAATAAATGATGATTTAAAGTGTGATTGCTTGAAAATTGGAATTAAAATCCTTGTACTGATGCATAAGAGTTGTAACTTAATTCGCTCTGAAACTGGACGAAATCATCTAAACAATGAAAAATATGCGGCAGTGGTTGCATTTTATCAGAATATATTGAAAATAAATTTTAAATTTCAGAAAACGTCTTTTTACAATTTATGATTTCTGAAATTATTTTTTCATTATTCTTTATATATATATATATACCAGTGTATTAGTTACTCTGTTCTTGTTTAACGTCAAACTTACCTGCAAACTTGTAAATTCCATATATAGCTTCAATCAAATATACAGCAAAAGGAAATTTTTGCTAAAGTTGATTTCAAAGAAAGATGTAAAATATTTCAAACACTTCACAAAGTTTCTCTTTTCATGACATCTATTTTTAGAAGCATGAATGGGAGTAAGTAGCTTTTTTTCTGATACTAGCTGCTTGCACAGCCAGCTACCTAAAATAATTGTTCTAAAAACGAAGGGAAAATGTACACTCAATTCTCGTTAAACTCTTACCCTAGCAGATCAACCAAAAGTGATGCTCTAAGTGAGGTGATGTTAAATGCAAGTTAATGACATTCTTCATTTAAGACCAAACATTCCAGAAGCAAAATAGGACATATATGTGTGTATACATACCTAATGCTTAAGGTTGTTAGTAAAAATATATTCAATTCATGCAAAATGCATTTACACATGCGCATAATAGGTTTACGCATGTGCGTTTAATGTATGTATAAGCTACGCTAAAATTATCTAATTATCTGTTTCAGTTAATGTTGCAGATTGCGTTGTTCCTTAATCTTCTAATTGGATCCGGTTTATTATTTTTTGCAGACTGTTAGAGCAATTTTATAAAAGTAAGCTTGAACTTTCGATTATGTCAAAAAGAGTTTCCGATTCTGGAGCTACCAAAGGATCTACAAAGCGAAAGCATGTTTCGATGTCAATCAAACAAAATGTGGAAATGCTGCAAAAAATGGATAAAGGCATATCCTTTGATTCTCTAACCATTCCGAAATATGTTTATCAATTTCACGCTGCTCTGTGGAAGGGGGGGGAACGTCGTGGCGCGCAATGAACTGGAAGTTGATCTGTCAACACTATCCTTATCTTCAGGGCAGATGTTTTTATTTTATTCGGCTTATAATTCCTTACTAAATGTAGTGTTCCATCTCGATGTACTCCGTCTTTCATTTAAATCAATTTCCTCGTCATTATAAATATCACGAATACACATCAAATAGTTTTCTGGTTGCAATTTTCTAATTTCGACTATGCGTATGCTTTATGCATGCGCGTGTTGAAAGAAATGTTTAATAAAGTAAACAGATAAATATTAAGCTTTTTTTTTTTTTTTTTTTTTTTTTTTTTGTGTGTGTGTGTGTGTGTAAAACAGAATTTATTGCATCTGAAGCCTATATGAGAAGATTTATTGGAATATTATTGCTTTACAGGATATTCTTTTACCTCAAGAAAAAAATGTATTGGTCTTTTGATAAGGACATTTCTGTTCCTGTTGTACGAGAATCGATATCACATTTGCAGTACAGGAATATGAAGCAGAATTTGCATTTGACAATAGTCAAATTGACAATACTGATAAATTATATGAGGTGAGACCGTATCTAAACTTACTGAATATCACCACTTTTTACTACTGAAAATATAAAGTCTCTTTTAGATTTCAGACGCGAGAAAGCATTATTCCTTTTGCAAACTCCTATTGAGAGTGTAGAATTAGCCAGAAATAGATCAGCAACAGGAAGATTCAGCATTCAAAAACCATTGCATGGAGATGGTAAACATTTTATCGTAAAGTCCGTTGATAACAAAAGACTTTGTTGTAAAGAGTACCATGGCCAGGCTGTTTATAGATGCAAAGTATGTAATGTAGTTTTACATCATGATTGTAATCAAGCTTTTCATGCTTGAATCTTTCAATTGAAATAATCTGTATTTGTAAAAGAAATACAATGTATATTTTAATATTAAATGAATTACAAGTAAAGTGATTTGTAGATTTATAAAACGTTATACAGCTAAAAAAGTAATCCTGCACTCCACTCAAAGAAACATCACACGAGTACAATCCTACTCACTAAACATCCGTAGTCTTATTCTGCTGACGTTGCGCGAACGCAACACTCGCGTCTTCCTCAGGTTAGAGCATTTTTTTTTATTTTCAGTGTAAATTTATGTTATAAATGCTTAATTTAATATTTGTTATTATTTTCATGAGAAAAGAAACATTCCTTGTAGTTTTGACGGTTAATGGGTTAATGATATCGGTTTCAATTTATTCTGGAACAATAAGTTATTCATTACCATTGACAAATTTATAGAGTATATCGACTTTAACACAGTAGTCATCGTAAGGTCACAATAGTCATTTAACCTCTAAGACTTCTTTGATATCTTGAGTGTGATGATCTTGCTCTTAAACATATCATATTTTCAAAATGAAGCTATCTTGAGTGATGACCATAACAGGGGATCTGCTCAGTGGCATCAGTATGTGTCATTCATGTTCCTCATCAGTGTTCTATTTCATAGTCGAAATCTAACATTAGTGCCCAACATGTGTTTAGGTCTTTCTTATTCATGGTCATTTTGAAGGCATTACTGTTAGTAATAATTTTGAAGTATTTGCCTAAAAGATTAAATCTTTTCAAAGCTTGAATTACAGCTAATACCTCAAGTTTTTTAACTCAAATTTCTTTTCAGCTTTAGATGTCTTTTTGCTCGTGTGATAAACAGGATGTAGGCAATTTTCAGTCATAGATCTTTGCATGAGAACACAACCATAACCATGGATACTGGCACCAGTGTGTGTTTCAGTATCACTACGTTGACTATAGATGCAAAATATGCATTTCTGGCATAAAGGTTGTTTCCAAAGATTGAAAGTTCTTTCATTGTTGCCTAAGTGGAAGTCATTACCTTTCTTAAGTTATGGTTCAGTTAATAGTTGAGCAATTATGAAAAAATTGAGAATAAATTTTTTAAACTATCTGGAAACACCATGTGTTCAGCAAAACTTTGTAAATCTTTGTGATTTTTTGGGTTCAGAACAATTAATAACAGCAGCCGTTTTAAGAGGAGAGGGGAGCAGTTTGTGACATGACTAAGGACTTCAATTCTGTATAGAAAAGGTGTGGGACAAAGACTGAAATGTACACAAAGGAACTGATATTGTCCATTATGGGTGACGAACGAAGGGTAATAATGGCTGTTTTTGTTGACGTTAACATGGAAGAAAAATTTTCTATCTTCTTGTTTAATTTTTTTTTTTTTAATCTATACATTCTCTAAGGCTACCGACTTTCTTTTTTCTACTACAACTTGGATATATAGAAGAACACAGTTCAGTTATGCCATTGGCTAACCAAGTTTGTCTTTGCTTATCTACCCTGTCTCTTTTGTCAAAAAGTAATCATATAGGTCTGTGTAAAATAGATGTTTTATTTTTCAATTGAAAACTTGTGGTTTTGAAAAGTTTTTAATTGGAGACAAGGTTTTAAATATTCATAACATGTTCTTTTGAAGCAGTAGAACCTATTTCTAATTTGAATGTTTGATTAAGGGAAATATTATAGATGATCCATCTTCGAGATCTTTTTTTTTTAACAATAATGTTTAGAAATATGAGCACTATCTTTGTTTATATTAACTTCATCTTGTTTAAGAATATTCATGCCAATTGTAGCATCAAATGGCATTACATTACTGTGTACAACATAAATATTAGCTATAAATAATTCCATATCTATTAAAATGTCACTTGTAAAATAACAAGATTAGTTTAATTTTATCATTGTCAAAGCCAGTCAACATACTATGAAATACACTAAAAAAAGGATTTCTGTTTGTTTCTGAACATTGTTACTGAAAACTTTAGTTTCACGTTATATCATTAATTTAGATTACTTTGTGGATAAGTTTGGCACATTAAATTTGACTGATATAACAGTGCGCCCCCCCCCCCCCCCAGTATTCTGCTTTTGAGCTTTTTTAACGCATATGAGGAATTTATGACCGAAATTTCCTCAAAATAAGCATTTGGGTCTGCGATATTTGTCAGGATAAAATGTAGATAATTTGCCAAATGCATTACAATTATAACATTTGGGTGTCTGGTAATAATTATAATTTGTTAAGAAGCTGGTTCCGTCATGTAAAGCTAGAAATGTTACTTTTCGACATTCACTCTCTCATTTTTATTTTAACATCACATTTTGATTTGTGTTCACTTAAAATCTAAAGTAAGATTTTCTGGCAATAAATTTAGGTCAAATCAAAAGTGGACCATAGGGTTTTGAATCCTCTTGCCTTGATTCTAAAATTTCATATAGCAATATTGAGTTCATCAAATATTTTTCTCAAAGTTAGAACATTTGAAGAATTTTTAATGCTTTGCAAGTTTAAAATTTTATTCATAAAAGAATAAATGATGATATCTTTACAATCAAAACAATCTTTAAATAACTTACACAGTTGTCATAATTTTTATCACTTAATTGAAAACCAGATACTCTATTCAACATTCCTCCATTCAAGTAGGCAAATTTTTCAGTTTTCGAAAGTGAATCATTTTGATGGATAGTGCCTTCAAATGTATTCCAAAATTTTGGGTCTCCTAAATGCGGTTTGATTATTTACTTCGGAAGTTTAATTGAAGAGGGTAAGTTATCATTCGAAATGCTTAACATTTTTTGCAGATGTCAATGATGTAATAAAATTTTCTTTCTCTTTCAGTAAACATTTAAGTTTATTACAATGTTTGATACATTTTTGTTAGTAATCAGTACTAGTACTTATTTCCTCTTCGATTAAAGTTAACTTGATTAAACATTCAATCTGATGGTCTAAGAATTTTAATTTACTCGTTATTCAATTTTATTTTAATTCATTCAAATGTTCCTCAAAAGTATCACATGTGACATCTTCATCTGTTAATGCAACATCAGTTTTCAAAATTAGCTTAGTTAATCCATTTTCGTTTTTAGTCCAAAAACGGGCTTTGTCCCTGAAAAACTATTGTTTTTGTTTTGCGATTTTGCGTTGAATCACTATAAATGTCTGTTTCACGTTTCAAACTGTTGCCAACAAATGTTAGAGTCTTGCATTATATTTGAAGAAATTAAATAATAAAAAATCTCCATAAATGTATTTATATTTCTCGCATTGTGATAAAACAATGGTACATAGAGCCATCAAATTTTGAATGACGTAATCCTCCTACGAATATGGGCATGTGGAAGACCAAATTTGAAATTTAGAATTTGTTTTATTATTGGTTTCATATTTTGTAAAACTTTAACGAATTTTTGAGTAACAAAGTTAACGATTTAAAAGCGAGCAATGGCAACACTATCAGGAGGGGGGACCTTTCATCTTCAGCGGGCGCAGAACTGTGTATCGAAAATTCTAAAGATATGCTCACTTTAAAATTATTTTGCGACATTACTGCTGAACTGAATTTTATGGTTTAAGTGCAAATAATATTTAATAAATAAAGTAACACACAAAACGTTAAAAAAACGCCCCTTTGGACGTAATTAAAAATCTGAAACTTTTCATATTTGGGGGGGGGTGCTTCTTATTTAATTTTTTTTTTTTTTTTTTTTTTTTTTTTTCAGAAGTCATGTTTTAAAGCAAAAGTTAAAAAATAATGCTCACTTGTAATCCTTTTGGAAAAAGGCTGAACATTGCTAATCCACTGCAGTTGATAATAGGAGCGCTACACTAAGCACGTTAAGTAGAAACTGAAACATTGTTATATGGGTCTGGAACTTATACAATTCTGGTACCAAATGTAGGAGAAAACATCATTAATACTCAGTTATTACTAAACTACAATTTATTAACATGAATTTAAAATGATTAGAAAAGAGAAAGTCATCACAACATTACACATCTGTAGCGGTTATGGTGTGCATTCTCTTTCTGCATGCTTATTTAAATGGCACATTACAATTACATGGCCATTTCCCACAATACCAATAGATGAATTTTCCTCATCCTTTCCTGAAATTGCATGCATGTTCTTTGCTAATTTTATTAATTGCTGTTGGTGATTTTAAGTTAAAGAAGAGACTGAGTAAAATATTTTGTAATGTCATTTCTCATTTGCTACTCAATTTGCTGCAATATATTTAATATCTGAGAATCACCTGTGGAGTCTAAGAGATAATAAAAGAAGCAAATTTGTTTGTTTCTATAATCAATTATAGCAAAGCATATAAAACTACTAAAAGTAATAGGAATTTACACAATTGTTTGATCCAATGATTTGAAGCATTTATTTTTATGTGCTTAACTAGGTGTTACTGCAATGCAGACCAGCAGTCAATATTATGATCAATTTTCATCAAATGTAGCTGAAAATAGAACGCATGAAGGTTACCTTTATAAGAGAGGAGCTCTGCTGAAAGGTTGGAAACAACGATGGTTTGTTCTTGATTCAATAAAACATCAAGTAAGACTTGATATTTTTTTAACTGTTAATTATTCTTGTACTTATAATTTAAATGTAGTATTATTGTTGTATTACTTTAAAATAATGTAATTTGAAAAACATTAAAGTCTCAAATTATGAGAAAAAGTTATAAATTGAAAATATTTTTGGCCCAGATTAATGATTAAATTTAGTTATAGACATAAATTGCATATGTTCTACTGTTTCACAGCTTCACATTTGATTTGTATTACATTCAACTGTGGCTTAGAATTATCAAAAGAATAATAAAAATTATTGTTGAATTGAAAATGTTTCTCAGTTGAATCTTAAACATAATATACATTACAAAATTTGTTTAAAATTTTGTTTCAGCATATCAGTTACCTAAGTACTTTATATTTTAAGCACACTTTTTAAAATGCCTTTGGTACTGCTCTGCTTTATCACATAAAGCAATATTAATCTTTCTTTGTGAAAGCCATGTTTTCAAACTGCTGACAGCATTTCAGCTTTTGAAAATAGGTTCAATGGCTCTCAGAATGTTAACACTCTGTTTCAGATGATTCCAATGTTAATAAAACATTTTGCAATGAAGCTATGCAATATTGAAACTTTAAAAAAAAACATAATTAGGCTTAAATCCATTATGATTATAATTTGCTTTTATGCAGTTTGCTGTACCAACACCATTTTCACATTTTTTTACTGAACAGAATCTAAATCAGTGGGATAATAATTCATAAGAAGCAAAATTATTCTGTTCTCTCTCTTTCTAGAAAGAAACAAAACTTTTTTACAATAGAAAGCTGAAAACAGCAAAGCTGGATTAATATCACAGATTTTGGCATGATTGAAAGTCACTCATTTTATAAAATGTTGATATTAATTCAAAAAAATCTATCTCTAAATTAGGATGACTTGATACTGATTCTAATGCATTTTTATAGTAGTAATTAAAATAAACATCAGATAGAGGATATTGTTTAATCTGGATTGAAAATATATTTTAATATTCACTTTTATAAACAGCTTTACCCCAGAATTTGTCTTACTTTTAAAAACAAATAATCTGTACTATATTTTCTGAAACATTATCATCATCGATGACTACCGACTTCTGCTGGTGCTCATAAAAGTACTTTAAGTTGTCCTGAAATTCATTCTTTGATAGTTTTAACATGATTTTGTCGTAGTCACAGGTAATAGTTTCAGAATCACTGCCCTTTTTATTACATATTTGTTAACGGTATCTGGTTAATATTACAGACCGTTATTACCTTGAATGTAGATTGATTTTTTGTGGTTGCTATGTAATAAGAAGTAAGAAATTGTTACTGTTGTTGAATATATGACTGTGTTTTAGTATATTAGTTCTAATGAAAATGCAACATTATGTAATCACTGTCCAATTTTGAGCAGTTTATATAAAAAATCGTCATATATCTTTGAGTATTAGTTATTTAGCTATATAATTTATGAAACCTGCAGTAGGCTTAAGTTGGGTAGAAATGTGGCCAGATATTGATGCATGTTCAAACAGTTTTTTAACATATACACAATAGACATAAAAGAATCTAAAAGTTTCAGTTCTACTTAATTCAATAATGAAGATGCCATACAACTTTTAATACCTGACAGACAAGGATAAAGTTTTAACTACGTTGGAACCAAAAAGAAATTGAAAAGAATTTGAACCAAAAACCAAAATTGCACCAAAAAGAAATATTGTTGTGGAAACATTTGTATTTAATTGTAGTGTAAAAGTGAAGATTTTTTTTATCCATTCTACACTGATTTAAGAAAATTAATGAAATATTACTAATTTGTTGTTCAAGTTGATAGTGTTGTTAAATAGCAAACTGTACTTAGCATCACTGATGAGGGGCTTCAAGAGTGAATTTTAACTGAAAATCTTCCTTTAACAAGAGCTATAAAAAATATATAAAGTGGGTGAATTAATAAAATTCGGGCACAAATTATGCAGTGCAAGGAGAGAGGCTATATCAAAGTTATACAGTACAAAGTCCGTAATCCAGACTCGTCAGGACGTTGGCGATTCTGGATTATAGATCATCAATTTAAATCTGGTAAGATGGCATGCAGAAATTATACAATTAAAAATATGAAATCGTAATTTATGAAATAAAGAGCAATTATGATCTAAAGGGTATCAAATTTTACAAAAAAAAGCTTAATATTTATTTGTTTACTTTATAAAACATTCTTTCAATATAAGTTGTTTAAGTTGCTTTGTTTTTTGTGCTAATACTTTCTCTTTAAATTCTATAAACAGACATAATTTCTTGTTCAGTACAAAGTCCACTGTTCAAATCCTTGTAATTGGCTGTGCCGGAGAAGACGACTAACTTGTCAATCGAAATTTTTTTCATGTTTCTCTAACCTCTCTATCACTTTCTTCATGCCTTTTTCCATTTTTTGCAGCAATTCCAGTTTTTATTTGATGGACATCGAAACGTGCTTTTGCTTTGTAGATCCTTTGGCAGTTCCAGAATTGGAAACTCTTCTTGACATAATCGAAAGTTCAAGCTTAATTTTTATAAAATTTCTCTAACAGTCTGCAAAAAATAATAAGCCACATCCAATTAGAAGATTAAAGAACAGCGCAATCTGCAACATTAACTGAAATGCCTTAGAATCAGTAAAGATAATTTTAGCCTAGCTTATACCATTCAGTATACATTAAACACATCACGTATATGCGTAAAGCATACAAAAAAAGTGTGTAGCCTTTGAGATCCGGATTATAGGTCATTTCGGATAATGGGCATCCAGATTACGGACTTTGTGCTGTATAATAAAGAGTGATGCTAATATGGGTTTTCAGGATTCATCTGGATCAAAACGTCTGTATCAGAATCATAAGCAGGGAATACCCAGTTTACAAAAACAGTATAAATGCAGTGAGTTAAGTAACTCTTCTTTGTGTTATAAATATCATGGTACACAAGAAATTCCATGCAGTGATAACCAATAACAGAGATTTACCTCAAGAATAGTCAAAGCAGAATTTTTTTAACTTTTTACTTATTTTTGAAGTTGAGAAAGAAGTTCCAGCAAATAAGTGGGGGAAAAAATTATTTACATTGCTGATAAAAAGTTAAGTTAAATAATGGTGTTTAGATTAATGTTTTACCATTACTTCTTATTTCTAACTGTAAAAATGGGAAGTTTGAGAAAACAAGTACTATCATTTTAGAGGCTATGCCAAAAATTAAACCTGTTGGTGTAATTAATTTAAGTTGTGGGGCTGATAACAGAAATCAGTTGTGTGTTTTTGTTGTTGTAAATAATAAATCACAAATTTTATTAGGATTAGATGGCTGTGGGAAACTTGTTGATAAACTAAATATGTTGATAAATTAAGTGTAACCTGCTTCAGCAGAATTATAGAGATATCTTTAAAGGTGAATCTGCATAAATTTGATAGAACATACTATATTAAGATGAAAGAAAATTGTTCACCCATCAATCGCTCACCTAGATAGGTACTAATCAGTTTGCTTCCTAAACTTGAAAAAAAAAAAAAAAAAAATTGAAGCAGATGTAACAACAAGAGATTAACTTAGACTGTTGGTCCTCAAAGTTGGGTTAGTAAATTTATGGTTGTGGAGAAAACGGGTTAAACTCTTAGGTTAAGAGACTATGTTTTTAATACCCAGAATTGAGGAATTTGTTCCTAAATTAAAACTCTCTTAATATTCTTTATCTTAAAAGTGAATAATTTTTCCACATTGAACTGGATTTAAAAACACACACACAATGATTTTTACATGTTTAGCACCTCATATGGCTATTACAATTTTTTATGATTTATTTTATGTACATGAAGTGTTTCAGAAGAGAAATAAAGAAAATTATGGAAACATTCCTGAAGGTTTAGTTTATTTTGTTGACCTTTTCATTGCTTGAGAAAACGCATAAAGAATGCTATGAGCTAAAGAACTGAACGAGGAAGTTAATCAGAATAAAGCATCAAAAGTAAAATATTTGGGATATGTGTTTAGTGCTACAAGAATGAAACTTGATCATGATTATGTCAGTGCTATCACTGAAATCCCAAAGTCAACTAATAAAACTTCATTGCAAAGGATATTAGGCTGTATTAATTATTTAAGGCAGTAAACGGCATTGACTATATCATCTTTCAATAGAACTTCTGAAATGAAATGTAATATGACAGTATTAAGTCAAAATCTCCTTAAATCTTGAAAAATGGGATTCCTGGTACGCAAATTTTGATTCTTTTTGATTGTTGAAAGTCCTTTTTCAAAAAATAGCTTGAATGGTTGTATGTTAGCCAGTTGGACCAAGATGAGAAGCCAGTTATGTTTCTGTGTTGAAACTTATCTGAAGCAGAAAAAGTGTTATCTGCAAAATGAAAATTTTTCAGTCTAGTATTTGCTGTGTCTTTTTCATTATTTCATTTATAGTTGAGTAGTTGAAAAGGTAACTGATCACAAACCTTTAATGTCTATAATGAATTGCTCTGTAGTGTATCTAGTTAAAATCTGCAAAGCACTTTAAAATGTAATTTCATTCCACATTTCAAATTAACTCTAGAAAGATTTTGTATTGTGTAATAAAGAAAAACCTGAAAATTGACTTTAGACAAGAACTCTAGTTAGCAAGAGTGCTGTTGACTGCATATAAGAAAACAGAATTTCAGAAATTAAATCAGTTTATTTTTAGACTTCTAGACATCTAATACATATAAAAATTCTTGAAAGATATATTTTTGATTGAAAGATTTCAAATCGTGACATTAATACATTTTCTATTTCTTATTGCATAGCTTTTCTAATAAAATAACTGTCATGTATTTCTGACTTACGAGGTAACTACATTAGGAATAGTTGTGTCTCGCATAGCCTTTCTATTAGAATGACAGTTGTATCCGTTACTGACTTACTAGGTTAACTACATTAAGAATAAATTTAGGATAGAATTGAATAGTGCATATGTAGAAAGTCTAATCCAAATATGCAAGGACCATATGCCTTCTTATGTCATTATTTGCTACATATGTATGTAATGGTAGGCAGCATTTCCAAATGTGATGTTAACGTTTAACTTTCCATAAATTTGAATTTTATCACTGGGCACAGTTTGGAGGGTATTGTTGGACAGCGTTCAGATGAGTTTGCCTTTCAGCTGTCAAGCTAAATCTTTTCACATGATGATAACATTGGCTCCAGTATTGATGGGTATATTGCAAGGAACACTATTGATATGTCCCAGTATGAAAAGTGCATTACTGCCATCACTCATTGCAAAAATCTGAAGTGCTTTAAAACTGGGTTTCTCATTATTTGACAACACCTGCTCCACGAGAAGGCTAGATTTCTTTCCTACAACCTTGCTGGGGAGCAATCTTATTTTCTGTGTCTGAGCATGTTCTGCAGTTCCTTCACTTTACGGTCAGTTTCTTGTTTGATTAAATTGTCTAGATACGCAGTTAGTTTATCCACTGACTCCTGGAACTCTGATTGTATGGCGGTTTCTATGAGTTGCTTGCTGGGCTGCCTGGAATTTCATGGTGTACACTTAAACCCTTTTTAAATCCTTGGTGTCTGCCTTTTTCAGGGCCTTTCTGTAGCTCAGAATCTCAGATGAAGTACTGCAGGAACAGTATTTTCTTGTTTCTTGAAAAAGCGAGATCAGACAGTCTTTCAACACCCATGATGAACCTCCTGGGGATTTTCCTTGGACTTCGGTTGGCAAGATTTTAACTGAAGCCTGCTCTAGACTTTTAAACACTTCTTGCCAAAATGTGGCTCTAACATGCCAGATAGAGCTTCAAATTCTAATCTCTGGTTTGAGGCAGAATTTGGAGGATATCTTCTATCAGAGAAGCAGCGAGATGGCAGGCTTTAGCTTCTGAATCCCATCCATTTGCATTTGCTATTAGAATGAATTGTGTCGCATACTCTTGCCTAGAAGTCTTCCCATAGTATGTGAATAGCTTTATTAATTTAAATTGCCAACTTCCTTGGCGACAATTTCCTAATTAATTTAAATTGCCAACTTCCTTGGCAACAGCAGCAAAAACTCTGCCTTCAATTTTTTCTTCAACAGCAGGATTTCTTTTTTGAAGTTCTCCAATTTTATCTTTAATCATGTCTTTTCTGCCTTCCATTATTTTCTATTATGGCAGCAATTTCTCTTTTTATTTCTTGTTGATCTGCTTTCATCTCTGCTTTAACAGTTTCTTGGCCAGCTTCCATCTCTTTTTTAATGGATGCCTGTTCTGCTTCCATCTCTTCTTTAAATGTAGCAAAGGCTGCCGTGACCTGTCTTAGTTGCTCCTCCTTCACTCATGTCACCGGCATTCAATCCCACTTCTGATACCAAGAACTATTGCATGCATACAGGGTCATAATGGAATGAATGCACACAGTAATGATGATAGTTTGACAAAATTCATTTTACCAAAAAGAACAGTCCACAGTTCTAGAATTTTCCACAAAATAATCGTTACAACTCTTCACAGTATGCAGAGTACAGTCAGTAATTATACTTCAAACTACTAAGAATATTAAACACAATGCAGTGCAAAGTTAATTTAAAAGGTGAAGTGCTGTCAGATATCTCAGTAATCCAACTTCAGCTCTAAACTAACAACTGAGAGCAGATGCTGTGTCCGATCTTATATAGTTTTCATGTGGTGGCCAAGAAATCTCTAGTACATAGATGGATAAAAAAAAAAAAAGTTTCAAGCATTATCATTTGAAAAGTAATTATTGTGGAGGGAATAACTTCCCCAGAGTGTAGACAGATGGCACTAATTGTGCGGTAAGGTAGAGAAAGTTCACAGACACGTCAGAGCGATCAAAATGGCAAGTTAGATTTAGCATTTAGAAAAGTGGTCTCACTTGTAGGTGTGAGCCGTGATTCATTATCCTGATCGAGTGCTTGGAGTGGAGCCATACGACTACTGCCAATCGCTATTCTGCCACTTTGACAAGGTTATGTGGAGTTATCTGATGCAAGCAACCTGTCATGTTGAGTAATGGTGTCATCCTTCTGCATGACAGTGCTCCATACTGTTCTCCAAAATCAAAAATTGTTGCAAAAGTTCAAGTGGGAAGTCTGGAGTCCCCCCCCCTATAGCCCACATTTAGTACCTAGTGTGACTATATCTTTTTTCCAAAATTGAAGGAACATTAATTTCGAATGGGGTTTTCTTCAGACAGCGAAGTGGAAAAACTACTGAAAACTGGCTCAATGGCCAGGGACGTGATTTCTCCCAAGCCAGGCTTAACAATTTGGTCTTGAATTCAGATAAATACCTGAATAGATTTAGTGATTATGTGGGAAAATGATAGGCAAGTATGTTAATTCTGTTTTAATTAATGATTTCTATTTTCTGTCTATTGTTCATAAATATTTTATTTATTTCCCCTGTAATTGCGTTTTTTTTTGGGGGGGCGATGGATCCACCCTCATACTTCTCAAAATTACTGGAATTCATAAGAGAGCCATATGCAGTTACAGTTGCATATATAGATTAAATACAGTTACTCAATTACAATAACCATCGATTTCGCCTTTTCAGATATTCATGTTATTTTATACAAAAAAAATCGCATATAATTTCTACAGAATTTTCTACACATGTACAAAATTCACAGCAAAATGTTTTCAAGAATGTTATGCCAAAAACAAAAAAGAAATATATCAACCAGCCATGAATGCATCTTTCATATAATAACTCATCATCTATGAAAGGCTTAAAATTTTAAATAACATGTATTTATTTCAAAAATGAAAACCTTTTACTGTAACTCTAGATTTTAGTAATGTATATTATATTCTTGCATTTCATAAAATTGTTAAACTTTAATTTCTGTGAAGTTTCCTAAAGCTTGAGTTATTGCACTTTTTGATTGGATTGGAAAGCATGAAAAAGTAGCAGTGGCCTCTCCCGGATTCGAAATATGACCTTCCAATTGCAAGCCATATATGCTTCCAGCAGCACCATAAAAGCAAGCAGCAAAAAGAGAGAAAATACCTTCACGTAGAGGGGGACTAAAGAGATGTGGACCCAGTTGCTAAATTCTGGAGGTGATGAATTATCGCTCATCACATTTTAGTTTGGGCACCACTGTAGAGTCATTAGATTTATTGATCGGAACAAAAAATATGAAAAACCAGCAATGCTTTTATTGCAATTTGAACTCAGAACCTTTTTGCTAGCCAATTACAACATGAAGGCACTCAGTGAGAAGGGAGAAGATACTATACAAACATTGACTAAATTATAACGCCTGATCTTTCTGATACTGAAATTATGTTTACATGCATTTGTAGTAATAAATTTAATGGATGTGCATCGCAGTAAAACTTTCCTTACAATTGATTTTTTTAAAGCGTTTAAACTCTATATTTGGAACTTTTTAAGTATTAGTTTGTAAAAATATAAATAAATATGTATAGAATAAACAGTTTATGGAATATATGCATAGAAAAATATACATTGGAAGAATTTTATCTGATGAGATATGTATAAAATTATTATTTAATGTTAAAAATGCAAGTGTTCAGAGCTTAATTGTAAAATATTTTAACGAGCATGTTGGTCCATTCTTTATTGCCTTGTATGTGTTTTCAAAGTACTGTGTTACTTATATGTGTAGATCAGTAACATGTCATTGAAAAATGTGTTTATATATGTTATAAGAGTATAGTGATTATGATATTGGGATGCACACCATGTAAAGTTGTTAGCTAAAGATGTATTATATAATATTGTATTAATCTGACTGTAAAAACCTACAGTAAGTACAGTACAGTACAGTTATTACTTTTGCAGTTAAAATATCATTGCTATTATCAATCCATATCCAGGACATCAAAATTGTGTACTTCCTTATTATATCGGCTTCCAAGATTGAATCACTAATCAACTGAGATATCTTGCCAAAATCTTGCCACATATTCTTACAGCTTGCTACATGTAACACCTTGTTGATTTAGCAATTAAATTTTGAAGGCCGCTATGATATGGCAGTACCCAAAACTGTAATGAGAAAGTGTGTTCTGTAACCCTTCAAAATTAGCATCATTCCTTAAATGTCTAAAAATATTTAATACAAATGTAACTAACTTCAGCTGTTGTCACATGCATTAGGTGCAGGCTATTTTGCCTAATATTTTATTTAAATTCTTTCTCGTATTAGATTTGAGAATGTAAATCTTCTCCTATTCTTCTGCCCTCTTTTTTTTTTTTTTTTTTTTTTTTTTTTCTTAAATCTGTTTTAATGTTTCTTCTGTTTGGTGTAGCTGAGGTATTATGATGCAATGGAAGATTCTCACAGCAAAGGCCTTATTGATTTGGCTGAGGTTATGTCTGTGGCTCCTGCAACATCAGTTCAAGGAGCACCAAAAAAAGCAGATGAAAAAGCTTTCTTTGATGTAAGCTGAAATTACATTGAAATTTTATTTAAAACCATTATTGAACTTTTTAAAATTTCCATCAAATATTACTTGCATAGGAAACCAGATTAAATATATTTATGTTAAAATTATAGTTTAATTTTAAAAATCGTATAGGGATTTTGAGTATTTGTTGTTGAAACCTCAAAGGTCTATGGACCAGGGTTTCAAAAATATTTAGTGTAAGCTTTTTTTTTATTCATGTTTTGTATTTTTATCTCTTTCTTTGGTTTTATCAAAAAATAATAGCTAAAGTAAAATTATTTTAATAATATTACCAGATTTCTTTGCTTCTGAAATGCACCTCTGTTTGCATATTAACATTGCTAAAACAGAGTGCATTAAAGTGATAACATCTTAGAATTGCAAATTTTCCTGAATAGTTAAATTATTTTGATATAATTAATTTTTCCAAATAACTCTAAATAGATGTGTTATTAATAAATCATTATGTTATTAATAAGTCAGATTGTTAAAAAAAATCTGTTGAGCATATTTTGCAATTTTATATCATGATTTTATTTTCCTAGAATCAAAGCCCCCTTCCCCAAATACTGAAATTAAGGAGCACATCTTAGAATTTAAGAAATACTGTATTTTGCAGTATACAGTGTTTCATCTTGACAGACACATATTTATATGTATTTAAAAAAGTTCGGAATAATGCTCTTCAGTTTCAGAAAATGGGCAGGGTATAAAAAGGGAGAAAATTCACATCTGTTTTCAACTTTTAGTCAAGCAGGTCAGTATTTTGCAAGTCACAATTATACAGATTTTTATCTAATATGGTTCTGTATGCAGTCAGTGTACCTTTAAATGGACATAAAAAGGGCTTTTAATAAGTAATTTACAGTCAAACTTATCTAAAATGACGACCCAGGATTCCAGATGATTTTGGTCTTGTGTAGAGAAGGTTGTTGTGGAGAACATGATTATGAGTAATGCTTAATGCTGATTATTGATTATACTATGAGAAAAAATTATCATTATCAAAGGAATCTTTTTGAGAGATTTCTTTGCATACTTAGTTTCAATTAAAAAAAAAAAAAAAAGTTAAAATTAGCCAGGACTATAAAAGTATTGTCAGATGAAGAATAACTTCCAAATAATCATAAAATGATTAATTTAAATTTGACCATTTTAAATATTGATATGATAGATTTAATTATATCAATTTGATTCAGTTGACTGCTTTCTTTGGTAATGATTTCCCTCTCCACTTTTTTTCCTATATAATGGAAAATCTTTTCAACATAAGTGGAACTATTGATATACATTTACATGTGCTGTTTACTGTAAAATTGTTATTAAAGTTGAAATTTATTTTCTATGAAACTTTCATATTAATAAAACATTTTGTAATTTTTTTTTTTTTTTTTTTTTTTTTGTTTTAACATTACTTTTCTAAAGAACAAACATTGAAAACTGGACATTATTTCATTAATGTTACAGTTACAAAAGCTCATATTTCTCTTTCTCAGAAATTTTTCTTTTGCATATATAAAATACATGATTTTTATATACATATAATTGATTTTAAGTTGAACGAATTTGTGTTTTGAAAATTTTTGTCTGTACAGTATAGCATCCTATAAAGCATTAAGCTCTTATAAAAAATTAATTTGCAATTTAATTTAGTTGTAAATCTAAATTTATATATCATAATACAATGTTTTATCTCAGAATGATTTTATTAAACTTTTCAGTTACGTACCATTAGACGGACATATAACTTTATGGCTGCAGATAATGTAGCGGCTCAGGAATGGGTGGAAAAGATCCAGGCCTGCTTACAGTAGTTATTTATGGACAACTTTTAAAGTACTGTTACTTTACAGTACAGTTACCTAACTATGGAGATTGTGTGCTCTAATTTTGATAAAATCGAACAATCCTTAAAGACATTTTGCTTTATTCTGTCGCACATTTGTTACATACATATTCCTGCGTGTTACTATGCTCATCAGTAAAACAGGTGATGCTATTTTAGGAATGTCTTAGCCAAATAAATGTCGACAATGTTTTCTCTAACTATGCAAAGAACTATATACTTGTTTGGTGTTAACATCGCATAATAATTGAAACAGTGGAGGAGAAGCTCAAATTTTGCTATGCTGCATTGTGTGCCATGGTTCATTTTTGTACTTTAATTTGTAGTACATAGCAATATTATTCAGCAAGTTCCAGTTTTAATGATTTTCTTAAGCTGCATAAAACATATCTGAAACTGCATCTTACTGTATAATTGTGCACTTATGTTTTTGGCCTGTCATCAAAGTATATTTATACATTTTCGTTGACTCATTTTGTTAAATTTTGTATTAATTTTTATGAAACTTCATTTTTGTACTTTCATAAAATTTGGCCTAATGTGTGTGTATATGTGATCAATTTGTTTTTCTTATTTGCACCCGAATGTGATAACTGCTAATGTTAAAGTAAAATTCTTTTATTGTACAGTTTTTGTTTTTATAAATATATTGAACTTTATGCAGTTAAAAGTCATTTTAATGTATATTTTGAAAAAAAAAAATCAGTTGGAAATGTCATCTTCCATGTAGTTGCTATGTAATTTTTCTTCTAGTGATATTATTTTGGAATGTTTAAGAAGGAAATATGTATCAGAAAATTTTTAATGACTGCATTTTGCTGTGTGAAAGGAGTTGAGTAAAATGTAGCAGCATTTTTTGAACTTATCACACGTTACTTAGTATATTTGAAGCACATTATATTTTTTTTAATCAAATATAGTATGTGCCTCTGTAAATGGATGATTTCTGATTATTTGAATTATGGTCAGCATTCAACATTTGCAGAAATTTGATCATATCAAAGACATTATTGTGAGCAAAGAAGTGGATAGAATAAATGTATGTTAAAAATTCTGAAATTTTAATGATGTTTTTATTGATAAATTAAATCACTGCATATTCATATTGTTGAGTACTGATATTTTTTGCGGGGAAGGGGAAATAAGTATGCAAATGAATTGTGATTCTTCTTCTATATAAGTTTCAAATTTGATATTTTTCTTTATTTGTATATGTTTTTAAACATTTTTTTCCCATTGTTAAATCCATAGATTTATGTAGGTAGTTCCCATTCTTTGTCACTCATAGGTAAAGCTTTTTATCAAAATTAAGTTGTATCATATCTTGTAATGCATGCATTATGCAATGCTGTTTTTATTAGTTTTTATATGCTGTTATGAAATATCATTACATAGTTTTGCCAGGAAATAGTTATAATTAATTGATTATGTTTGAACATTTAACAAAAAGTTATACTGATTAAAAAAGTTTTAGTTACATTCTCTATTAAAAAAATGAAATTTCAGAAATATATTGTGTATGCTTTTTGTGTTACACTTTCAGAATGAATAGTGCAAAGAATTTATGAATTCATTTGTGTTCAATTTAACATCAAAAATTCAAAATGAGATGAGATTTAATAAGAATTATTTTCACCTATTTTTTGTATTTATTATTAAAAATATAGTGATAAAAATTGAGATAATTGGAATTGTATATTTTAATATTTCATGCTTCCAATAATTAAAATTATATTTGTAGGGCAATTATTGTAAATAAAAAAAGGTTTTTGCAGTAATTATTAGGTCGTTGAAGAGATTGCTGTGCTGGAAAGTGTCTTTCTGTAATTTTGAAAATACTGTGTAGGATTTAACAAAATGAGAGTGGCACCAAAATTTATACGGTTAACTTCATATACTCAGAAATTAATGTCTGTTTATTATTTTATTCACTGTTAGTAATGCACTTAATATAAGCATTGGAGAAAATAAGCAAGATTTAGTAACTTTTATGTTATTTATTGAATTATTTGAAATTTAATTGATCAATAATTAATTTTTTGAGATTATTGATTAAAAATTTTGTTACATATGATAATATATTAGCTTTTGTTACATTAAATTTGAAAGCTTTAATTGATATTTCATTCTAAATTTTGTGTAACATTTAATTTTATGATTTTGTTTACATAAAATAAGCTTATTATTTAATTAAAAATTAGATTTAAATTTGGACTCTTCCATTCCAAAACAAGCTCTTTGATACCATGTATGTTATTTTCTTTTCAAGCTGCATTTCACATTTTCTTTCTATCAGTATTTTATGGTTGCATTTCATGCTTTGAATCTGATTAATTCAGTATTTGTGATTTCAAAATAAAGAAAGGAAGAAACTTTTTTTTTTTTTTTTTTTTTTTTTTTTTTTTTTTTTTTTTTTTTTTTTTTTTTTTTTTTTTTTTTTTTTTTTTTTTTTTTTTTTTTTTTTTTTTTTTTTTTTTTTTTTTTTTTTTTTTTTTTTTCTTTTTTTTTTTTTTTTTTGTTTTTTTTTTTTTTTCTGTATCATAAGAAAGATCTTAACGAATTTGAGATTTATGTCGTGTGTACATTAATTAATAATATCTATTAATTTTCTTTCACATGTCAGAATAGTACTTTTTTCGAGAATATGTCCCTATTGCCTTTTTTATCAAAGTGCAGATCTTGCTTTCTGTGTAACTATCTTAACCTTTAAATTATTCATAGATGTACCTTTTTTTTCCTTAGAGAGCTGTATTAGTTCTCTGAATTTTAGCTGTTATTTTCTAATTTATGCACTATGTATCAACGTGTGAATGTTTTCTGAATATTTCTATTATTACTATATCTTTATTCTAAAAATATATTTAGAATATATCTCGGTATATTTATAGACCATTCTTTCTGGAACCAAGCCATCCCCTCCCTTGGTGTCATATTTTGTTGTTATCCCTTATTCACTCTTTTCAATTCAAAAGAGTATATTTATTGCAGATGGTGAATTTTATCATTGCAAATCTTATTTACTGTATGAAAATTTTGCAGAAATATAAATTTGTGAATTATTTAAAGCTATTATTTCTTCCTATCAGTATCTTAAAAATGTGTTTAATGGAATAATATTTAAATGTTGCTTAAGAGTCTCACATGTATTGTTTATAATTCATTATTTAAGGACTTTCTCTCTTTCTCATTTTTTTGGGGGGGAGGAGGTAGAAATTTTGGATTTGTAGCAAAGTTATCCAAAGAAAGTGCTTCCATTTTATGCGGATAATTTCCATTTAACAGTAACTTTGTCTCAGTAATTTTTAAGTCCTAAGTTTTTTTACCTAAGTTCCCCCTTTTCTCTTTTATACATATTGAAAAAATAATTTAAAATTATCTACCAAAACCTTCACCACATTTGATTAAAGTTTTTGAAAAGATTTTGATTAAGGTAGAAACTGTGCAAAATGTGTTTTCCTTTCTATTCATAGAGATGAGATTAAAATATAATTTATTCATTAAAAATGCAATAATAATAATACTTAATTATCAGTTATTAGATTATTTGACAACAAATACAGAATTAAATTCAAAGAAATTTTAAACAACAGCTGCTGTTTTAAAAAATTTTATGAAAGTTCTGCTATAAATGTTATTTTTATTATATATAAATTCATTTTTAAAAGAATCTTTAATGCATTTTATTAAAATTTTCTGTTCCCATCCCCATCTTACCAAGTTTTTAAATTAAGAATCTTTCAAACAGTTTTATTCTTTGTAAAAATTGTATAACTTATAGAAGACTCAATTAATGATTATCTGTTTGAATGTAAAGATGTTTTATTTAATGACTAAAGTTTGAATGTAGAGATTTGGTATGTTTAAAAATGATGATGCATTGCGAAAAGCAACGTGCTATAAGTAATGTTTTAGTATCATTTTAAGTGAGAAGTCATGCAAGTACAAAAGTCCTGTGCTTTAGTTTTCTGGAAACTGTATTTAAAATATATACATTTTGCTTCCTATTGTACATTTTTCATTTGTGCAAATGTTATGTGCTGTTTGTACATTTAATAAATTTATATATTTTACATACAGTTTTAAATAGAGCATTATATGAAGTTTAAGATTGTATGTATCTATGTATGTATTTTTATTGCATTTATAAAATTAAATTATGAAAAATATAAATACAAGTGAAATTTTATTATTCATCTTTATTTATTTATTTTCAAAAGAAATTTTAAATGTTAAAGTAAACCTGAAAGGGTGTAAAATCAATTATTAGTTTGTAATTAAAATCATTTGATATCATTGCTGATAATTTTTCTCAACATACTTCTTTAAATATCATTTTAATAGAATCTGCAATAGAGTAGTCCTTATCAATACTTTTCCAGCAATTTTTGGAGGGGGGGAGTGTAAAAATTTTCACCATTTTAATTTAAAATAGCAGTAGCTAGCTTACTGTGCTTAATTTTTTTTTTTTTTTTTTTTTTTTTTTTGTTTTTTTTTTTTTTTTTTTTTTTTTTACTCATGGTTTCATACAGTAGCTGGATAAAGAAACTGAAACATTTCCCAAGTATAGCACTTCAACTATGAAGTCAGTTTGGATATTTCTACTTGGAAATTCGTTCAGTAGTATTAAAGGTGCTGATTGCAAACATTTTGAATCATAGGACATAAACAGGGAGTGTATCGGAGCTCAGATGAAAACTAGTTGTTGGTATTTATTAGATGTTCATAATATTCAAACTGTGTGCCCTACACACAGAAAAGTAAGACTTTTATCTTAGTTAGAGTAACTGCTATTAAAAAAATTGATGAAGCAAGAGAAAGTTAATTATCTGAAAAGGATGTTAGACTGTTAAAAAATTGTCACCAAAAACCCATAAAACAATCAATGGCTTCTAAAATTGTAGCAGAACTAAATATCTCCTAAACTGTCCCATTTTTAGAAAAATTGTCAAGTTGTCCAGTACTTCATAGGACTAAAATTTATTTTTGGGCTAAGTCACTAATACCCAGTACCCATCATAAATACTGGCTTCAGTGTTGTCAAGTATCAAAAACCAATAAAGAAATCTCAAACAGCATAACACTTAGCAAGCAAAGTCACTTAGGGTGTCTACAATTATGTATGCCATTCTTCAGTGCTATTCAGTGAGAGAGAAGCAGTGACACCAGGTGCTCTTTTACTAGTAAGCTTCATAAATTAGCTACATTCCTCCCACCTTTTCAGTGGGGTGACAAGTACATTCAAACAATCATAGTTATTATGACAATACACTAGTTATAAAGGAAATTATATGAAATACAAAACTATTTAAGACAGATGAAATATTAAATCACTTGAAATAGATGAAGATACACCCCTCTCAATAAAATGAAATTTCAAATACAAGTTTCACTAGATATTCTATACAGAATTCAGAGATATAGTACATGTTTTACAAATCTACTACTGCTTGTCGTGGAATCAGGTCATCCAGTTCTAACCTAAATAACTTTTGTTCTGGTCTAAGTAACTCAGAGGTTTATGTTAAGAGCAAGCCTAATTTAACCTTCTCAACTAGAGATTAGTTTAAATTATATGTGCTTGGCTTCAATATGTGCATTTCTTCTTTTTTAACTGAGGAAATTTCTCCTACTTCAAGAGGTTTGTTTATGTAGTTTCTGACTGCTGTCTTAACTGTCCCATAACACTGGGATCAAAACCTTGTTCTTAACTCATCCCTAATCCTTTGTAAATAATTTCCTTTTCTACTTAATTTTGTCCTGTCAATATTGGATATACCTGATTCAGGAGTTTCATGTAAGAACTTTTTGGTAGTTAAAGATGAAACATCTGTAATATCATCCAACACATATGTAAGAGGTTTTGGGTTAATAACAGACTTCTCATAATAAAAAGTGTGTAACCTTTTTTTTCTTTAATATGTGTTACTGTGTGAAATAGCCACTTCTGCCCTGCCATGCTGCTGGAGGATTCCATTACATTTTCTCTTCAGCAGCCTTGGAACAGAGATGCCTCCAATCTATGGTTTGCAAAGCTTTCTTGGCACCTGTAAAGTTCATGCAATCATCCTCTACATGCAACAAAATGCCCCAATGTGTGAAAGAAAGCTTTGGTTATTAGTTCCATGTGGATGGCTCGACAGACAATACAGTTAAAAAGTTTGATGTAAAATTTTCAACCATCCTTTAGGTACAACTGTCTCCCAAAATCCCATCCAGCGATTTCAAAAATGAATGCATTGCATACTCTGTCATTTGGCAAAAACCCTGGAGTTGTATCATATCTCAGCTTTAAACCGCTTACGTGTTGTACAATTCTTATATAATTTTGTATTGTTTTATGTGTTCTTAAAATTTTAAACTTCTCTCATGAATGCAGCATTATAATTGATGTACTGACATGTAATAAACTAGTTTGAGTATTTCTTATTAAGAATTTATCAAATGGATTATCCAAAGGTAACATTACGAGAAATTTTAAATCATTTCTGTCATCACAGTAAACATTAGATTGATCCCTGATTAGACTATAATAATTAACAACTTGTCTTAAATTAAGTTTATTATCTTTTTCATTTTGGAAAGTTTTCTTTTGAATTAACAACTCTCCTCTCTTAAATTCAGTAACTGACAAGTCCTTAGAAAATTCCTGTTGACTTTCCTAATATTATAAAATCTCTAAATTCAAGATATCATTCCTACAATTTTCTTTAATGATAGGAAACATTTATTAAAGAAATTAAAATTTT